AGTAGGTTTAGAAGCTGTCGTTTCTCCTGAATCTCACAAAGTGCAGCTGAGAAAGTGAAACACGAAAACAAGCAGGCCAAATAAACAGACCGTACGTCTCTGAGTTAAGACTTATTCACTCGACCGATCTGCATGTAAGAGACTGCGTGTTTAATCCCATAAAGAGATAAATTCGTTCATGAAATTGATTTCCTATGCATAGCCTTATATAAAGATGTTCTTTTAGCTTGTAATGTAATTACCCGTATAAAAGATTACGTGACAACTCGGATTGCATGACCTTGTAACGATGACTGGAAACGCACAAAACTGGGGAATAGACTGGAGTCTCGATCGATAAATTTGTATATCATCTTTCACGTATTTTGCAGTTTATGAATTCCGGGATTTTAAGAGTTGTATTTGTCAAACAAAAGTTCAATAGATTCGCACGTGACTTACAGCTTTTATAAGAGAGTTTTTGTGACCAGCGGTCTGTTATTTGGACTACACCTCGTTTTCGTGTTTGTGACGAAATCAATAGATACTTGAGGGCTTCTAAGCACTCATTTTCATCTCAATTTCTTCCTCAACAATTAGCAATTCAGTATGAACGAAACCTCACTAGTAAATAAGTCCTTCTCCAACCAGTGAGCGCGCAAAAATACCGTACTATTACACGAATAGGAAAAAACCTTGTTCAGAGATTCCATCATGCAATGTTTTCCATAGTACTCTGTTGTCTTGAAAATATTTCGTTTTGTGCCTATCTCTTGTCTGCACTTACCTGATATCCTTTCCAATTCTATAGTCAAATTTTTGACAACTTTGCTCATGAATGAAGCGCGCGCATTTTACTCTCATTTCACGCGTGAAAAGATCCACTTACCACGACAAAATCTTTCCGAATTCTCATTGTTCTTTACCACACAAAACGCTGAAAGATCGAAACCTAGTCAGATTTGTTCTTACCATGCGCCATTTTGGACGACCGACAAGTCCACCCGAAGCGGTGTTATTCCGTCGATCTCTAGGACTATTGTTGTTGTTGCTGTTGTTGTTGTTGCCATAGTTGTGTTGTTGCTTTATTCGTACAAAAGACGCATTTTGATTATCTAAGACCTGCGCCCCTTAATTTTTAGCTTTGTCTCTTCGCTTCCTCTTCCAGCACATATGAATTCTTCTTTTTCTTCTCATTTAAAGACAACTTAACTTAATGTACGCAGGAGCCCAAAGGCTTGGCTCACGACAAATTCCGAATTTGTCCGACGAAATATAGCTAGGAGCTCATTTTAACCACCTCAAGTACCCAAAAATAAACAATGAATAGTACTCACGTGAACAGGGTTAATCTCTTTGATTGCTTCCATCACTTTCTTGAATTTTCTTCCGAATGATTGTTGAAAGAGCCGAGCTCCAACCAACGGAAAGTTATAATGATGGGTTGCAATTTTCGCGCGTCGTGATGACGTAACAGACGAGATGATTAACTAATCAACAGATTAGCAAGTATACGTAACTTCTGCCTCGTTTTCAGGCGCCTTTGCACTGGTTTAGGAAAGCGCGAGAAACTGCCCGAGTGCGCAGACTGCTAGATAGGAGGATATCGACAGATTTTAATAAACGTTCGCCCATAGACTGCTTCAGGCTCTCATTTAGTCGAAGCGATTGCAAAAGCAGGTGGACAGGTCCAAGAAACGAGACTGAGAAAGATCGGGAGCTTGTCAGGAAATATAAAGGGGTGCGTCGTTCCGCAGGTAAACCAGTCGAGGGCTGTCGGTTACTTTGGCCACCACGATGCGCTGACCACTGACTGAGAATTTAGCACAGACTTCTTCGCAAATGAAAGGTTCTGGATGGGAAAATGACAAAGATCGGGAGCTTTCCAGGAAATGATGAAAAGAGCGCGTCCTCCCCCAAGAAAACCAAGTCTTCAACTGCTCGAAATCAAGCTGTTTTGTCGTTGATGCTTAGTTTGCTTGCGAACATATGAAAATGAGAAAATCATAGGAGTGCTAAGTTCTGCTTCGTACGTAGCGTACGAACATTCCTCGGCAAAAGTAAGCTTATGAGTAATTAAGTAATTTTTGGCTACAAGTTCATTACACAATTTGACGGAAAGGCAATGAAAAGACAAAAAGTGACTAAACTGGATTGAAGCTTTGATATCACAACAAATTGTCGATATCAAAAAACATGGAAATATATTTAGGACACAAGTTATGAATGATCTCATACGCCAATCACAGCGACCAGAAAACTCGCGCCACTCTTTCTACCAATCAGGAACAAAAATTAAACCAATCACCACTTGGTCCTTCACGTTTTCCCGCGCTTCAGGTAGTTTGGTTGGTTTTACTTTGAGTTCTTATCTTCAAGGCATTTGCCGTCCATCT